ACATTGTTTACAGATGAAGATCATTGTCTTCATATATTGCACAGTTGTTTATTGTTTTAGTCTTTAAGTTAGATAGATATTGAGAATTATATAGATTAATAGTCATCTAAGTTTGTCATTTGTAATTAGACTAATCAGGTTCTTTAGATATATAGAGATTATACTCAGTATAGATAGATAATCTTCAACCTCTTTGGAGAGCTGTAGAATATGGCCTTTAATATAACTCAGAGTTTCGTGATAGTGAGACACAATTGCTCCTGGCAACACCGCTCTATTCCCGAGAGAACGTTGAGCACCAAAGACACTCCACTGGGAGCTTGTCTTCTTGGCAGAACTGGCCTTTGGGTTAAGAAAAGCCCATACCTCAACCACTGACAAAGATACAGAGCGTGCATCAATGGATACAACAGGACTGTCATATCCTGCCAAGACAGGGTAAGATAGTTTTGAAAAGTTCCTTGCCTTTAATAATGGTATGTCAGTTATGTTAGGCCTTAGCCAAAGTTGGTTGACTCAACATTGCAAACGAGACTTTGGGTGATTGCTCAGGTAGTCAGTTGTCTTTGTCAATTGTTACACATTTGGATCGTTTGTTAAGTAATATTTATTGCCTTCTCGGATCTTTGATGGAGTTGAAGATTATATAATTGTAGTTACTCTCTACATTATTTAGACTCCTTGAGATAGAATGTTTAGCAAAACTTTTGATTCTCAATATTGTTTGTTATATTTATTTGTTATTATTGTATATAGTTGTATTTGGTTTAGTTCTGTCTTATTTAGACAAAAGGGGGAGATGTAGGGATAAGTCCCACCCCTTAGGGGGCGTGTTCGCCTCAGGCTAAAGTTTTCCTATAAATTTGGCGAGCGCGCTCCCAGCGCTCGCTTCTGCTTTCCTGGTCTCCGCAGGAACGGTGGTTCTGTAAGTCTATTCCTCCATTAAAGCTGTCTATATTTTGACAATCTGTCTGCATTCGCTTACGCCGTTACAAGTAGATACTTAGGTTTTATTTGATTTAATGTTAGGACTTCATAGAACAGAATTTTAGAGCCGAAGTAAGTCACAACCATTCAGCTAGGGACAGGGACTTAGACCTAGAGCCCTGAATGCATTGTTCAACTTTCTGCGTCACTTAGCAGACAGTGTTCTTTTAGATGACATAACTCTGCTTTCTCATCTCGGAAGTGCCTCTGGGGTGAGCAGTCTGCTCAAGAGCCCGGGCATTCTATAGCAGTGACTTCTTGGTTAGTAACTCTCGATTTCAATGTTTTAAGTA